CTTATTTAGGGCTCCTTAGGTCAACGCCCCGACCGTATGGTCCATGCTGCATCTCCTGGAAGGACAGTGAGGTAGGGTTCAAAAGGAGTCAGCCCTCGACGGCCCGAGGAGTGTCTTCCGAGAATACTGCAGCCCGGCATGAGGTGCCCGTCGGGGCCTCGCTCTGTGCAGGTGCCCGAGGTGATGGTCCCATCGGCGTCCCCCTCGCCACGAACTTAAACTACAACATCTCCATATTTAGGAGATGGGAAAGTCTGACATTTGTCTTGTTCTCATCAGCTGCTCTGATGCTCCACGAACATTGAGACCGCTCCTCCGGAGGACACCTCGCGGCGGGCCTGCTCAAGGATACCGGGCTTCAGCCGGCCCCTGCCCGATCCGACCCGACGCCGCTCCTCCGGCACTCCAGTGCGGCCCGACGTGTTCGGGGGAGCGTAAGACCCGGGTTTGCCAGTGAGGACCGCCCCGGGGGGGAGTGATCGTCGAGGACTTTGGAAGGCGGCGGGTGTGGATCCGGACATGGAAGCCAACATGGGCACGCACGCATACATAATTCAATATATATATATATATATACATCAGGACTCGGGTTCGCCATCGTTTTTTGACGACCGCGATTCGGATTTTGACGAGCAGGCGTTTCGTGGGACGTCTGCAGCGGGAGGCCTCGTCAAAATGCAGGCTCGGCCTCGCCATTTTTTTGACGACCTCGTCGGGGATTCCGAGTCCCCTGTACCCGGGTCTTACGCCCCCCTGATCGTACGAGCCTGTTTCTAAGATTCCAGGGCGGTGGCGGCCGTCACCTAGGGGGGGTGGGGGGGAGGAGGGGGCCGATGACGTCACGCTTCGCGCCTGCGGCGCCTGGAAATACCCAGAAATGCCCAGGACGGGTCGCAGCAGCATGTAGGTGGCGATCTGCACCACAGCGCCTGTGTACACGACGGTGACTGCCTGCACCACAGCGCCTGTGTACACCACGCCGCCTATGTACACCACGGCAACCGCGTGCAACACAGCGCCAGTGTGCACCACAGTGCTTGCGTGCACCACAGCGCTTGAGTACACCACAGTGCCTGCGTGCCCCACAGCGCCTGTATACACCACGGCGCCCGGCTGCACCACAGCAACTGTGTGCAACATAACACCATTGGCATAACACCATTGTTGTATAAATAATTTGGGAAAACATCCTTTTGACAACATGGAGCGCCTGTGGATTCCACTGGGGAAAAATGGTTTCATATAGGATTTGGACAGGCGTTGTGATGGAAACAGGAGCGCCGCTGGAATGTACGAGTCCTCCCGAGTCCTCCCGCATCATCCTAAGTCCTTCCATCTGCGTCCACAAGGCACCCGCAGAATTGGCCGTCCGAGAACCAAGTGGACTGATTCAATTGACCATTCTGCGGTGCACTGAGATTCGCACGTTCGCTGTAGCGCCGACCCGCATGACCGGGGGAAGGGTGAGGGAGGAGGGGGGTGAGGAGAAAGAGGAGGAGGAGGAGGAGGAAAGAAGGGAGAAGGGCACACCATCGCATTTGATTATGAGCATTTCCCTTGCGTTGTGCTTCGATGCCCACAGCAGATGCTCACCTACCTGCTCCTTCTACTTGTCCTGTGCACGCAGGCGCTGTGGTGTACACCAGCGTTGCGTTGCACGCGGGTGCTGTCGTGTACACAGGCGTTGTGGCGTGCACAGGCGACGCGGTGCACGCAAACATTGTGGCGCACACAGGCGTTGTGTTGCACCTGGTTGCTGCGGCGTGCACCTTCGATGTGGTGTACACCGGTGCTGTGATGCACGCGAGCACTGTGGTGTACACAGGCGCTGCGTTGCACACGGCTGCTGCGGTGTACACAGGTGCTGTGGTGTGCACGCGCGCTGCGGTGCACGCGTTCACTGTGGTCTACACGGGTGCTGTTGTGCAGCTCGCCGCCAGCATGCTGCTCCTGCGCGGCCTCGGTCATCCCCGGGCATTCCGGGGCGCCGCCCGCGCGGAGCGTGACGTCACCTAGAGGGGGGGTGCGGGGCTTGTGACGGCCGTTGCTCGAGCGCGCAGTCGTAGGCGGAACACTGAGGCTTCAGCTTTCGCTGGATGCTTCTGATCGTGCGCAGGAGTGTTGGTTCTTCGGCATCGCCGTCGTCCAGCCACGCTGGGCTGGTGCACTGCCGAATTGTGCGAGACCCTCCATCAGCTGGGCAGTTAGCATGGAGAGCTCTGGAGGCATGTAGGGTGCATGCAATGCAAGTTGGACCCAGTCGTCATCCAGATGAGCACGGTCATCGTGCCCCGTGGATTCGAAATCGTGGATCCACTAGACATGTTTACTTAGAATTCTGTACAGATGGGAGGATACGCCGTCTAAATTCCATTGCCCATTTCCGCGGATTGGATCGTCGGGATGAAGCGGAGCTTCATCAACCCTAGGGCTGTCAGGGAGATCCAGGACGGGCAAGTTTGCCTGCCGGCCGCGTTCGCCATCATGGTCAGCCACAGGGATGGGGTTTGTGCCCGGCAACACCGCGAAGAGATGGATAGTATGGTCACCCAGTCGCCGGGCCCCCGCCCCAGGGTGCGGTTAGGATGCTTCGAGAGGCAGAACGCCGCTTGATTCTTCTCGCCAGGCCCTTGTAGAGCCGCTGGGGTCCTGGGGTCCTGAACCGAGGGTCCCCCTTGGACACCGTCGCGTGCCCTCCACAGGAGGAGCAGAAACAGCGTTCATCCCTGCACAGTCGGGAACTTGAGCGAACGGCTGCCCCCTCTTAGCTTGGACGGGCCCTCCGACACGCCCGCAAGCTCAGGGCAGAGGGCTTCAGGATGCGGGGCGTGGGCGGGGACCCCTAGATGGGCCTCGGGGGGGGGGGGGCCGGGGCAGCAGCAGCAGCAGCAACCTCCTCCGCCTCCCTCCTCCTGGCCTCCTCAAGGGCCGCCCCAAAGCCCCCGCTCTTCAAAGAGGTTAAGGTGAACCTTTGTGCCCCTACATTATCGAAGCGGTCCTCCTCAGAGCAAGAGCCTCGCAATCAGCACACTTTTGGCCACCAACCTGTCAGCCTCATCACGTCTGCATAAATCTGGTCTTTGCGTGCCCAGGTGTCAGCTTACTGGTTGCCACCCTTCCCGGCATCTGAAATCCGTCCCTCGCGCAGGTCTGCCTGCGAGGAGTGCCGTTGGATCTTTGTTGAAGAAGCATCCGGCTGATCTCTAAACCAATGGTGCCACACGTGCGCCCGAACATTAACCGATCTCACCGCAAGTCTTCAGTCTTGGCAGCACTGTATCGTGCAGCCGCAGTCAGAGTATATAATGATGTTGCCACCCATGAATCTGAACGCGGTGAAGACTGTATAGTCCTCGCCATATTTGGCGATTTGGTCTGTGCACACCTTAGGTCGCACTGATCCATGCCACCTATCAATCCAGCAACTCTCATGATCAAAGATGGCGGCCCCCCATCTGCAACTCGAAGCGAGGGGAACACGCCATCAAAGGCAGAGCCATCACACAAAACGTGGCCTCGTTGGAGCATGAATGGCACACCCTCCCCTTGAACCCTGCACTCGGTGGTCAGATCCCAGGGTTTCCTTGTCAGCAGATGTCAGGGGTCGAAGAGGATGCCTCGAGAGGAGTGTTCCTAGCTTTCAATAGAGCGGTTGGAGACACGTCTATCTAATTAGGGCCTGATCTCGTCAGGGATCATGTCCCTTCTCCACGCTTCCCCGACAGGGCATTCAAAGTGCCGATGGACCAGTGTGCCCCCAGTCCCACACAGGAGGCGTTCTTCGGCGAACTACGAATCGCGTTGGCTGAGCCCATACCGGCACCAGCTCGAACCAACAGCAAGACCTCGGAGGGTCTTTTGCTTTCCCGCCAGAGCCACCCGACTTGCCATCGTGTTTTGCAGGGGCAACTTTGCCGTGCAGCAGCTCGTTGAGCGGACGCCAAGCAACTGTCCCCTTTGCCAAGCTCTGCCCTGACCTATCTTGGTGGGACCGTTGGAGTCTGCCAGTCTTCTGGCAGCAAATCTGGCATGTCTGGCTGAGAAGGCAGGCGACGCAGCGAGCAAGTTTCACTCCTCCCCCGACGCCTCGACCACCCTCCACGGATCCTGGGACTTAAACCCTGCACGACTACATGTGACAAGCTAGGCCGCCAATGGGTCTTTGACTTGGGCTCAAGGCCTTGGTTTGTTAGCAAACTCCTGCCCCTTAGCGAAGAGCAGGCGGAGAACTCGATAGGCGCTTATTGTGTAAACTCTGCGCGTGCGTCTCGATTGCATTTGAGGTGGCCAGCACTAGAGGATCTGGGATCCAGGCTCCGCCGGAGCACATGAAGGTCGGGTCTAGATAACACCCCCTCGGAATGCAGCCCTCCACGCGATGCGCAGACACACACAACTGCTTAAACTCCCCCCCAACCAGAGGGCCTTCGCTGACCCACTAGCACTGACAGCATTGCCTGCTTGGGCTGCAGCATCCCCTAGGGCCAAGACCGTGGCAGGAGGAGGAGGTCAAGGACGAGGGCGAGGACCGTACGTCAACACCGCGGGATGGTTCTAGGGCACAGCGTGCGCGGCCCGCGCGTGCGGGGTGCATCCGCACACGGAAGACGAGCAGAGGCCTCGTTGAATGTTTTTTTGCGCGCTGGGCGGGTGGTGGTTTGGCACTGGTGTCCGCTGCGTGGGCGTCGTTCGTTGTGCTCATAGTAGGTTATTCGGACCTTCTTTGGAGGAGGAGGAGGCGAAGAGGAGGAGGAGGAGGTGGAGGAGGAGGAGGAGGGGAGGAGGAGGAGGTGGAGGAGGATAATGACGAGGGAGGGAGCAACATCAGCGGCAGAGGGAGCGGAGTGGAGGCGGGATGGCAACGGGGTGGAGGAGTGAAAGGAAGAAGGAGGAGGAGAGAGATGGGGGAGAACGGAAGAGGCTTGCCCGCCGCGGGAGAATAATCTTTTCTTTGGCCCCATCCAAGCGGTGCAAGTATGTTTCTTGCTCCCGAGCTGTAGGTCAGCCCAACGTCACATACGCGGCGCCGCAGACGACGTACGCTGCGCCAGCGACGCACTTCGCCGAGCCGATCGCAACAACAGCTCAAGCTGCGCCCATGTATGCCATGCCCCAGTCCAGAGAGGAGCTCATGGCTGGGGGCAGCCATAGGGATTAAACGATTCCCCGCGGTTGGAAGCAGGAAGAGGGTGAATGTGGGGAGGAGGAGGAGGAGGAGGAGGAGGAGGAGGAGGAGTTGGAGGAGGAGGAGGAGGAGGAGGAAAAGAGGAGGAGGAGGAGGAGGAGGGAGGAGGGAGGAGGAGGAGGAGGAGGAGGAGGAGGAACACGGGTACGAGAAAGCGGAAGGAGACATGAACGAGGAGAAGAGGGATATTGCGAGAGAGAACAGGAGGGACGATATTGGGAGGAGGAGGAGGAGGGGGCGGAATAGGAGTGGGAGGAGGAGGAACACGAGGAGAAGGGATGAGGAGTGGGAGGAGGAGGAGGAAGAGGAGGAGGAGGACGAGGAGGACAAGGTGTAGGATAAGGAAGACAATACATCAGATGTGGATGGGGATAATGAAAATAATCAGGAGGATGAGGAGTAGTATTTGTAGTAGTAGGAGGAGGAGGAGGAGGAGGAGGAGGAGGAGGAGGAGGAGGAGGAGTATAAGCTGCAGCAGTAGCGGGCTATGAAGGGGAGGGGAGGCAGGATGTGGAGGACGATTGGCATGGCGAGGCGGAAGATGAAGAGGAGGATGGGGTAGTCAAGGAGGAGGTGGGGAGGATGAGGAGGAGAAGGAGGAAGAGGAGGATGAGGAGTTGGAGGAGTAGGGGGAGGAGGAGGACTTCCGAGACATCGCATTAGTTATGTGATTGGACCCGCCCCCAGGAGCCGGCGGGGATGTCCGTGACGTATGCCCCTCCCTGAGACTGCCTTTGATTCGCCGGTGGGCCGCTTCTGTTCGATGTCCAGATTTCCAGTTATTTGTCCGTGCTCGCATTCGACTTCGTCGCCGCTTCCGCCCTCGTCGCCTCCGCCGAACCCGGTTGAACCCAGTGCTGCGCTCTTTCCCCCTTCGCCACCCTCCTTTCACCTCGCGGGGGGCGCTGGAGGTGAGGAGGAGGGGATCAGGGTGGAGGGGGATGGGGAGGAGGAGGAGGAGGAGGAGGAGGAGGAGGAGGAGGAGGAGGCAGAGGGAGGAGCAGGAGGAGGAGGAGGAGGATTCTGCGACGGGGCTGCAGCAGTGGCACGGGTGCATGGGTGCATGCAGCGCGGCAGCACGGTGCCGAGACGAGCGCACCGCGGCCCGCCTTCGCGGGGAAGGGCGAGGAGGCAGGGGGAACGGGGTTGGAGCGGGCGTTGGAGTGGTGGGTGTGCGCAGAATCTCCTAGCGTGTGGTATATATGTGCATATATATATATATATATATATATATGTGTGCGCTCGAACAGGCCCCAGCCGGTTCCAGAGCCCTCTAAGGCTCCGCCTGTCTACATGACGGCGCCGCAGCCGCAGACGATCTTGGAGCCAGCGGGGGCGCCCCTGGCGTATGGCGCGCCAGCGGCTACGATGTGGACCTCCCCAGGTCGGGGGCGCCAGCCGTTTGCAAAGGGTTCGAGGAAGCGAGTCCTCAGGGAAGCTGCAGTAGTGATCATCAGAGGGAGGTGGCAAGAGGAGTGTTGCCTCGTCCCTATGTGTGCGTTGTCGTCGTGGGTTCTGTCGTCGTGTGGCCACGGTGCAGGGCCACGCGGTGGGGCTTCACGCGCAGGGTGGCCAGATCAGCCCCCTTCTGGAGTTTGGGCCAGTTTTGGGTGCATCGGGCCGTCTGAGATACCCTTCTGGCCAAAATGGCGAGACTCGGCGGGAACGTACACACATTCCTATCATGATACAACTTGCATTGACCACCCCCCAGGCGGCCGCCCCCTCCCCCCCATTCCTTTCGGACGGTGCCCCCCAGCCCTGGGGCACCTGTGGGAAGAGCTTCCGGACAGCCGAAAACGCCCCCCACAGCGGCGGCCCAAAAGGCCCCCGAGCTGGCCCAAGAGGTTCTCAAGGCGCTCTAAGATACTTCCAAAATAGCCCAAGAGCGCTCCATCCAAGAGGGCCCAAGACGGCTTCTAGACGGCAGCAGATGCCCTCAAGACGGCCCAAGGGCCCCCCAATAAAACACCCGAGAAGCAAACAACATCACATTCCCGCTGGGAAGCGTACATCTTGAGCATATTCGGTTCTTCGGTTCTCACATCGTCCAAGACGACTCAAGGAGGTCCCCAACATATTTTCCCAAGACGGTTTGATAATGTTGCCAACGAAGTAAGCTGTAAAGTTGCAAACATGAGTTTCGGCCCGAGTTTCAACATAGTGAGTCCAAGAAGAGAAGAATCTGCCAGAAACGTAGAACAACGAATTCATGGACAGAGGAAGAGAACGATGCTTCAATGCCTCAGTAGCTGAGTAAGGGTACCTAGTAGCACACTACTTGAAGTGACGACGGGCACGTCAATGCATAGCTGTAACACAAGCTTGCCAGTAGAGACGAGGATAAGCGCCCGAGGATGGCAAGTCAAAATCCCCCCCAAAAGATCTTCGTGTGCACCTGGCCCACAGTACCGTCATCAGCCGATTTGGCGCCTCCATGCCAGGGGCCATGGAGACGGTGCATCCGGGCGGCTCCGTGCAGGCCGTACAGCGCGTTGCCGATCCGGTCTACATTACGGCGCCGTCTGGCACCGCGACGCTGGGAGGAACCAGCGTGCAGTACGCCGCAGAGCCTGCAGGCGTGGCCGCGCAGCAGCTAGCGACATGCTCCTCTCCATCCTCCCCCGCCCCCCACTTTGGGAAGGGACAGGGACGGATGCGGAGGGATAAGGAGGAAGAGCAGGCGGAGGAGGATGGAGGAGGATGGGGAGTGCGAGGAGGAGGAGTCATAATGATAAAATAACAATACTACTAATAATAATCATGATCGTTTTAAAAAAAGAAGAAGAATCATGCGCTGGCTGCGTGTCAGTCTGCTTCGCGCTGCTTTGTTGTGCTGTGTGGCATTCTACTTCGATCTCTCGCGCAGGCTCAGGCCTGCCTCGGCCAGCACATGTACAGAGCACACACAAGGAAGTTTTCGCAGATGTCAGGCAACATCCTTCAATTTACAACGCAGTGGCCAGCCGTAGCTGGGACAATATCCAGGGTGGCGCTTAGGAGAATCTAGGTAGGCCCCACCAGGTCTAGACTTGGCCCTGGGGGCAACCGCGCTGACGAATTTAGCGCACCAGGTGCGCACTGATGCAGCAACACCACGCTGCGAACTTCTCGCAGAGAAGAGGAGGAGCGCAGCAGGAGAGAGGAGGGAAGACAAGTCGACGGCACAGAGTCAGCTTCAAGGCTGGAACACTTAGTGCACGACGATGGTGGAGTCCCGCACGAGGTAGGACTACCGCAACACGTAGGTGTGGCAGACATTCACGATCAGGACGGCCAAATCGGCGAGTCGTGCAGTCAAAGTGACTGCACGCCAGTAGCCACCAGACAAACAAGTCAACAAAGCCCCTGGCGCCCAGCAAGCGCGGCACCACCTACGGGCGATCGAAGCGCCCGTGGGCGAGAGGCCGACTTTCCTAGCCTCCCGTTCGCGGTACTCAAGAGTCATCGTTGGGTACTCCAGATTTCGTAATAAAAGGGAGGGGGTCTGGACCCTCCAAGACGAGCCATTTCGGACCTCCCCCGTGGGAGAACCCTCCAAAACATCGTCCCCAGACCCCCCCAGGCCCTCCAAGATAGCTTGGAAGAGACCCCCCCCCGAAATGAGACCCCCCTCCCTTTCTTACGAAATCTGGAGTATGTTATGAATCGTCTCTCGGAGGAGCAGGGGGAGGAGGCGGAAGGGGAGGATAGTTCCGCCGGCTTGTGCCCAGGCGGGGGGCTATGACGCGTTGCGGGGGCAGCAGCCGCAGTGCCCCATGAAGCGGCGCTGGCGACGGGGGGGGGAGAACTCGGCCTCTCCCAGGCCGAAGAGCTACGCCACGTGCCCAGCGAAACAGCTTGGCTCGTCGCAGGTGGTGTGCTGTTGCTGCTCACAGCGGCGCACAGTCTGGCGTCCCCCTCGTAACGAACTTAAGCTACAACATCTCCATATTTAGGAGATGGGAAAGTCTGACATTGTCTTGTTCTCATCAACCGCTCTGACTGGGTAGTCGAAGGCCAGACCGTCAGATTGGATTGGGCCCCAAGGGCCAATCCGGCCCGGCCAAACTGGATGATCTGGGTCATTCGCCAGACTGGGTTCGCGTTGGCTCCCTCGCCAGATTGCCCCCGTTTGCCAGATTGGGCCTGCCAGATTGGCGCCAGATTGGCTTCGACTACCCAGACAGTGCAATTCCATTGGAGGTTGATGGGTGAGGTCGAAGTGAAACGGAGTCGCCAAACCGGCAAACTGACTTCGGTTCGTGTCGTGCTTGACGCGCGTGCGGGCGAGGCGAAGCTGCTCGAGTTCCTGCTGTAGTGGAGCCCAAGTCAGGCCAAAGCGAGTCGCCCCGGCCCGGCTGGTGGATGCGAGTTGTTCCAATGGTTGTCACGAGTGTCCTTGTGGTTGTCACAGTGGTTGTCCCAGTACTTGTCTCGATGGTTGTCCAGATTGTTTTCCCGACTGTTGTCTCGATGTTGGTACTGATGCTTGTCCTCATGGTTGCCCCGACGGTTCTGCGAGGCCATGTTGTCCCGATTGTTGTCCCGATGGTAGTCGGATAGATATCTCTTGGCTTCGAGACACACATTCACATACAAACATACATACATGCACACATACATACATGCGTACATGCCCACGCACATACATAAACACAACCATGCCTGCATGCATACACGCATACACACGCACATTCATACAGACATACACACGTGTGTGTATGCACATCTGTTATGCATATGAATGTGTTCACGTTCATGTGTACATATGAGTATATACATACATACACATATGTATAGTTTTATGAATACGTGTATACGTATCTGATTGTTCGTGTAACTTGTAACTTGTACGTTGTATATGTATAGGTGAAGACATATATGTATGTACATATATATATATGTATATATATATATATATATATATGTAAATGTATATGTATGTGCATCTGTATATGCCCATACATAGGTATATGTATATGCATGTGTATATGTATGTGCAGATCTAATTTTATTTGTATGTGTATGAATATTCGTGTATGCATGTGTGTATACGCATACGTGAACACACACATATATGTATATATATGTATAATTCTATCATTATACTGGAGCAGGCCGCAGACGGGCCCTGGACCCCGGGTCTTGGGTACACATGACCGCCCCAGGGGACCCAGGGGCGCCCTCGTGGCTCCTAAAGTGGCATCGCACCCCGAGGGCGCCGAAGATGCCTGGTGAACGGCCTCCGAATGCTTCCAGGCTGCGCTAGGACGGCCCCAGGCAGGCTCCAGTGGGCGCTCGAGACCCCAGACGGGTGACCCGAGAGGCAAATGTGTGATTTTCCTTCCAATGTTTTTGGAATCCTCAACTCTTCGTCGAGTTTCCAACAATCCATGATGGCCCAAGGGGCTTCCAACACCATCTCAGGACGGGCCAAGAGGCCCCTGGGAAAACCCCGGGACGGCCTAACAGGTCTCCATGACGGCTCCAAGAGCGCCCAAGAAGGCCCAAGAAATTTTACAGACGGCCCCAAGATGGGCTCAAGAGGGGGAGCATTCACCGAAATTTCGAGTTCTTCGGCCCAAGAAACGCTCCCAGGAGGCCCCAAGAAGGCGCCAGGACGGCCCCGGGGCAGGCTTCCGTGGGCGCTCGAGGCCTCGGCCGAGTGCCCCGAGAGGCAACCATTGTTGTTTTTTGGTGTCGCACTTCTCGATTGTGATTGTTGTTTTTTGGGGGCAGGTTGCGTTGCGATGGGCCCCTTCCGGTTGCAGATCTATTGGAAGGCCGTTGAAACGATGGACTGACTAGATTTTGTCTGCTATTTCTTGTCTGGCGCGTGCGAGAATCATCGAGAAGCCTGGGTGTGGTAACTTTCAAGAATGGGGCGTGAGAGAATCATCAAGAAAGTGGGAACCGCGCGCGCAGCAGCCCGCGCGGGGCGCGCTCCGGCGCATGCTGCCTCTGACCTCTGACCTCTGACCACTTCTCGATTGTCCGACAACCCACGATGACTCACGATGCCTCAAACACCGCTTCAGGACGGGCCCAGAGGCCCCCAGGAGGGCCCCGGAACGGCCTAGCATGGGTCCATGACCGCCCCAGGGGCGCCCAACACGGCCTCAGAGGCCCCGAAGATGGCTCCAAGATGAGCTCAAACGGGGGAGTTCTGAATCGGCCCAAGAGGCGTCCATGAGGCCCCAAGAAGGCCCCCAGAGGCTGCCACGAGGCCCCCAAAGCACCCCAAGAGGCCCCCAAGGCGCCCCAAGAGGCCCCCAAACGGCCCTTAAGAGGCCAAACAACGGCCCTCAAGAGGCTCCAGCGAGGCCTCCTTCGACATCTTACCAAACACTTTCATTGCTTTTGGCCCACTACCCAGGCACGGTGGCGAGATGTGTTGAAGGCCATTCCAGCCTCTTTCGCACACCCCCTACGCTCTTTCATATTCCACGCCGTGGCTTTCCCAGCTCCTACATGTTTCATTTGTTCCCTAACACCTTCCCCATGTCACTTCCAAGCTTCACCAAACTCAAGATTTCTAGATGGTTGCATCTGTCTGGCCTTCGGGCTTTGCAGCCTCATTTGGGATACCTTGGGAACCTCTACGTGGACTCCAAGACGGCCCACACCATCGTGCTCCCAGAGAGCCTTCCGGGAACATGATTTTCGTCGCTGGTCCGACGCGGAGACCGAAGAAGAGGAGGAGGAGGAGGAGGAGGAGGAGGGTCCGCGCTATCACACCAGATACTCCAATTCAGCGTGGCGTTGCCCGGGAACCCGTTCAAAGCGGAACCGAGATCGGGCCCGCGGCCCCGCCCCGAGTGGCTCCGGTGTCGAGTCGAGGGCGCTGGGGAGCCCAGCCCAAAACTTGCCCGAGAGAGCCCGAGAGGAGCCCCGAGACGGTTCCGACAGCCGTCAACGGCTTCCCAGAGCGACCTAAGCGATCTCGGAGAGCCCAGCCTGACAGCTTCCGAAGGCGTCAGACAGGCCAAACGCGTCTTCAGACATCCCGCGGGGCCCTCTCGAGGCCCCATGGCGGCTCCAAGAGGCCCCCCAAGATGCCCCCAAGAGCCTTTCTAAATTCCAGGAGAACATCTGAACCATTCAATCACCGGCGGGAAATTACAGGTTCTAATGGATTGGCCTTTTCGCTCTCGATGGGTTGACCTTCGACCCATGGGGCTCCAGAAACGACAAAAGAGGTCCCCGAGAGAACCCTCAAACAAATTCCAGGAGCCGCCCCCCCCCCCCCCCCCCAAACGCTTCCAAGCGGATCCCCGAGGCGCGCAGTCGGCTGGATGTGCTGGGAGGCCTCTCCAGGAACATCGGGCCGACGACGGACGGCGATGTCGATGCTGATGATCACTCTGGTGATGATGAGGATGGTGACGTGTGAGATGATGACGGTGGCGATGTGCTCGACTCGCGCAGCGGTGCCCACCACATGGTGATGGGAGTGAGGGTGAAGATGAGGAGTCGGATGAGGATGATCAGAAGGAGGATGTTGACGATCTGGCTGAGGATGAGGCTGATGAAGATGATTATGATGGCACGCGAACTGGACGTGTCGGCATGGCTAACAGCACCGGGCCAACACAGCCTTTAACGAGGTTGCTTTTGATGTTGATGATGGGGATGGTGTATATGACCATGGTGGTGGTTATGATGACGATGTGTAAGATGACGAAGGATATGAAGATTAGGTCAGGAATGAGGATTGGGGTGAGGATGGGCACGGCTATGTCACATTCTTGTGCGTGATAGCGCTGTCCAAGCTCTTTCAGCGACCTCCCAGCCTGCGCGATGTGGGGGCCCAGTCGCATTCCTCCATGTTGTTACCCGGCCTCCAGGAGCTTTTCTTTCCCGCTCAAAGACGATGCAGATGCCTCCAAGACGGTCAAGATGACTCAAAAAGGCTTCAGAGATGCCTCCAACTCCGCCGAAAAACCGACAAGACGCCCCGAGTGAGAAGGGGGGGCCTGGTCCCACCCTACATGCTGGGAGCGGGCAGCCCGCAGGCATGGTGCTGTGCTCACAGGCATGGCGTGGTCTGAGCGGCACGCATTGGTGCTCACAAACGCGTTGTGGCGTTCGCAGTCGTCGTCGTCGTCGTCGTCGTCGTCGTCGTCGTCGTCGTCGTCGTCGTTGTCGTCGTCCGTCGGCGTTGTCGTCGTCGTCGTCGTTGTCGTCGCCGTCGTCCGTCGTCGTCGTCGTCGTCGTCGTCGTCGTCGTCGTCGTCGTCGTCGTCCGTTGTCGTCGTCCGTCGTCGTCGTCGTCGTCTTCGTCGTCGTCGTCGCCCAATGCAGGTGGCGATGGCTCAGCTACCGCAGGCTGGTTGGACCACTGTTCCGCAAGTGCAACATTCGGTGGCTCTCTCTCTTCCTTCTGGTCGGTGTTCGGTTGCAGCGCGATGCAGTCAACGCGCCTACTGAAGACGCGCGCCTTCTCCACGGTACCCTTGTGTCCTTGCTTCTGCGACCTGTCCTTTGCGGCTTGCATTGGCCAGCTTTTGCAAACAAGGCCCAACTTCGACTTCCGAGGGTCCTGCGTCCTTACTACCCGTCCTCAATGCACGTATTGGTTGCAGACCCAGTGCCATGGAGAAGATGAAGACTGGGCGGCCGCGCGCTTTCTCCCGCGGGCGCTGTGGTGTGCGCGGGCGCTGTGGTTCACGCAGGCAGCGTGGTGCACACTGGCGTTGCGTAGCAGACGGTTACTGCGGTGAACACAAGCATTGTGGTGTGCGCAACCGCTGTGGTACACGCAGGCACTGTGGTGTACGCCGACGTTGCGTTGCACGCGGCTGCTGTGGTGTACGCAAGCGTTGTGGTGTACGCAGGCGTTGTAGCGCACGCGTGTAGAATTTTTTGGTGTCTAATTCTCATCGGGATCCAATCAAAACGTGCAGGGGCGGTCTGTTTCCTATTTTTTCCAAATTTTAAAGAAATACTGAGTTCCGTGGGATCCAGAGAAGCACCGTTTTACATGGGGCATCCAATATTAATCAGATTATAAACAATCCTTGTCTGTAGAATCCTATTATGAACAATGGTTGTTGCAGTATACACGGGTACTGCGGGGTGCATGGGCGACGCGGAGTTGCAGTACACGCGGTTGTTGTGGTGTACGGAGGCAGTGTGATGCATGCACAGTTGACAATGTTTTGCACGCGCGCATTGGGCATTGTCGAGCAAGCAAGCGATTGATGCGCCAGTGGCGCGGACGCACCCTGGCCCTGGCGGGCGCACGCCACGGCCGCCGATACCGTTACCTTTCCGCCCTCCCCGTGCCTTCCTCCCCCATGGGGTAACGGCCGTTACCCTTGAAAGAACAAGACGGTCACCAAGAGGCCCCCAAAAAAATCTTAAGACGGCCCCGGAAAGGCACACATGGCCCCATTCCTTGCGGATGTGTATATGTATACATGTGTATGTGCACATAGTTATGTATATATACATTTGTATATAGGTGTGTATGTATGTGTATACATGTGTGTATGTATGTATATATGTATGCATATACATAACAGCGCACGCATGTATACTATATATATTACACAATATATATATATATATATATATATATATATATATATATATATATGTATACACATATGTGTGTGGGGGGGCTGCTGTATGTATGTATGTCTGGCTGTCGGTCCGTCTGTATGTATGTATGTATGTATGTATGTATGTATGTATGTATGTATGTATGCCGCAAGATTGTCCCAAGACGGCCCAAAAGGGCTCCCAAGATGGTTCCAAGACGGCCCAAGAGGGCCCCAACACTACCGAAGAGGGCCCCAGGACACCCCAAAAAGGGGCCCAGAAGGGGGCCCTGAGAGGTCCCCAGGAATCCCCAAGAGGCCCCCCAAATGCTTCCCAGCAGGCCCCAAGAGGTCCACTAGAAGCCCCCAGGCGCCCCAAGAGGCGCCAAAGACGCCTACCAAGAGGGCCGCAACAGGCAAACATTGCCCCGGTCCAGTCGGAAAGCGTAATGTGTTTACCATATTCGCCTCCTGGGCTGTCACAGCGTCGAGAGGCCCCACAAATCGTTCCAAGACGGCCCAAGAGGCTCCCAAGAGGGTTCCAAGACGGCCCAAGCGGGCCCCAAACGGACCAAAAAAAACCGAGGAGGAGGAGGAGGAGGAGGAGGGCCCCAAGATGGGCCCAAGAGGGAGAGCCCGAGCTGGAATTCGAGGCCCTCTGCCCAAAGATGCCCCCCGCGGCCGCCAACAGGCGCCCGACAGGACAGGCCCCAAGAGACCCCCCCGAGGCCCAAAAGAGTACTCCAGATTTCGTAATAAAGGGAGGGGGGTGTCATTTCGGGGGGGGTCTCTTCCAGGCTATCTTGGAGGGCCTGGGGGGTCTGGGGACGATGTTTTGGAGGGTTCTCCCACGGGGGAGGTCTGAAATGGCTTGTCTTGGAGGGTCCAGACCCCCTCCCTTTTATTACGAAATCTGGAGTATACAAAAAGGTCCCCAAGAGACCCCAGAAGGCCTCCAGAAAACACCCAGGAGACCCCCCAAGAGGCCCCCAAACCTGGCTCCGATACCAGAATCATGTCCTTTCTGCCTCCTGTCCATGTCATTCCTCGTCCCTCTCGCACGTGCTCTGCCAGCCGGCGTAATGGCGCGTGCGTGCTGTTTCATGGGCGGGCGCGGTATCATGGCGACGCCGACAATGGTAGACACGATTGTGAGAATAGCGATAATGGCGACGATGGTGGCGACGACGATGGCAAGGACAATGAAGGCACCGATGTTGACCACGCCCGCTGATAGCGATGACGATGTTCTCGCGTCGGCGATGAAGGTTGCAGGTTTTTGACGGGGTTCGACATGCGCACGCGGCCGACGCGGGCGAGAGGCCCGCGTGGTGCTATTTGGCACGGAACGTGCCCCCCCCCCCCCCCCCCGCACGCGCGCAGGGGCGTTCGAATGAGTTTGACATCCGGAGCGAGAGGCCCGTTTGGCAGACATTCATGAGCATGTTGAATGAAACGATGGTTTTCGTAAGAAGCCGCAAAGCTGCGAGCGCATTGTTTTTGAACATTGATGTTGCAATCGAATGTTTTGGTATGTCTTCGGGCACTCGTTGTGGACATCATTGCGACACCTCGGGTCTTTTAATGTCTGGCAGGCCCGCGCGCTCCCCCTCCCCTCCCCCTCCCCTTCCCCCCCTCCCCTCCAGCAGCACAGAGAGGCCCCAAGAAGCTGCCACAGTGCCCACACGCAGGACTTCCAAGAGAGGGCCAGGTCGCGCAAAAGCCAAAGGGGCTCTCAACGTTTGCTCCTTTTTTCTGGAGATCTCATGTCTTGCGAACGTGTGGCTCCAAGATGGCCTTGGGGGCCCAAATGGTCAAGGATAGTGTTCCAATATTGCTCAAGGATGGCCCAGGACTGCCGCGACAACCAATGTGCGACTTCAGACACCAAGAAGTGCGCTTCCAAGCCAGGGGCTCTGCCATCTGGACACAGCCCCTCAGACGCGCTATACGTTTTGTCGCATGCAAGTAGGATTTGAGCGCGCGAGAAGCGCGCGATGGTTTTTGGTAACAATACTGGGAGGCAGTGAATCACTATATATATATATATATATATATATATATATATATATATTTATATGTACACGATCTACAGACAGATGAACATGTGAATCTATTCGGTGGAGGACGAATCGTCTTAGTTATTCGATATGTGCCGAATCCTCAGGTGACAAGTGCGTCCATTGCAAATCAAGTATGTTGTCACCCCCAAGCCTCCTTCTTACCCGAAGGGTGGTCCATGAGGTCTGTTATTCGGTTCGAGCCTGCAGCCGAACATGCCCTAAAGCAGAGTTGCATGCGGGCTTCAAAAGTATGTGAACGGCCTGATCGAATTTGGTTCGCCAGCGGGCAGCGTACTGGTCGTAGAAGTATTTCTATGTCCTGCGTGGCTGCGCACAGCTTCGGCCCAGTTCATTCCAGGTCTTGAGCGCCACGTGACGCGAGGAGGACGGATGTCGCGGAGGAGGGTCATCAGGGGGTGGATGGCAGTCGACGGGGTGTGGACGACGGTGGAGCCGTAGGAGGAGGATGAAGGAAGGGAGCGGAGGACGGAGGATTGAACAGGCGGGGGAGAAAGAAGAAAAGATGAAGGAAGATGAGGTGGGGCGACGAGTGACTGAGTAGGCAGGAGTTGGAGGGGGAAGGGAAGGGTGTAGGAGCACCCTGCAGGCGCCGCCCCGCAGATCTTGCAGCCGTCCATGCCCGGCGTGTCCAGGCAGCTGGAAGCAGCCGGGATGCAGCCGCAGGTGTCGATGCCGGTGCAGACGCACATGTCGATGAAGCCGCCGGTGCCGAACCGCGCCGCGTGCGATGAGGGAGAGCATCGGCCACGCGCAAGAGCTGCCCTTCGTAGGAGCGACCTCTGGTGCGGGCCCACGGGGGTTCCCCCGGGCACTGGCCTGCGCTCCCAGACCTTGCCGTCCCGCGGCTCCCCTGGAAGCCGCGCACCAGAGGTCACTCTTGCGTGTCGCCGAGGGGGGGAATGAGTACGAGAAGGAGGGGAGGAGAAGGATGACCACAGGAAACCTGGTAGTGCGTGCCACTGGTGCTGCGATACGCCCTCCCGCCCCAGGTCCTTCGTCATGGGTTGAAGCAAGAGCTTTCCTGAACGGCGAGCGCCCGGTTGAGAGGTGAGGACCCCGTGCGCCTGCATGTGAGAGCCGCGTGTGGTTGGACATGTGCATGAAACAGCACGATGAGCCAGGTCACGCTTTGCGCTCCTCGTCATCCTCCTCCTCCTCCTAGGCGTGCGGGCGCAAAGGCGGTCTGTTCCGCCGAAGCCCTCGGAGCGGAGGGGTTCCACCTCCCCCTCCGCTCAGATGACGTAGTCCAGGTCATCGCCGAATTCGTCGTTCCCGAACTTCGCCCCCCCTCGGGGGCCGCCAGACCCCTCCCCCTGTGGGAGGGCGGCACGCTCGCCCCTAAGGGGGGCGATGTCGATGAGGAAGCCGCTGTTCTCCGAAAGGAAGCCGCTGTTCTCGAAGTGGTCGTCCACCTCCTCGGGGAGGCTGAAGCTCGCCTTCTGGTAGGGCTTCGGGAAGTCGTCGCAGCTGTCGTACTCCTTGCCAGCGTCGTTGGCGAACGAGACCCTTCTTCTCGGTCTGCGCCTGCGGGGCTGGCCGTGCTGGAGCTACGTCGCCAGGCGCGGGTCCGCGGCGAGTTCGTCCAGTGGGCGTTCGGTAGTCCACTCCGCCATTTCCTCGCTGTCCAGGGAGCTCCAGGCCTGGGCGGCCTGGTCTTCTCCGTCCGCGCCACGGCCTCGGGCGTAATGGCGCCTGTAGTGCGCGTAGGCCGCGTGCTCGACGATCGAGACCTCCTCGAAGGCGTGCTGCTCCTCCTTCGGGACCCGCTCGAAGGCCGCACGGGCCCCCGCTGCTTGCACGGTATCGAGGCGTGCTCGCAGGACTGCTTCCTCCGTTGTGTCGCTGAGGCCATTGAGCGTATCCTCGAGGTCCTCCGCGTAGTTGTCGCATGGTTTTCGGATGCTCGATGGGATCTGGCTGCTCTCTCATATGGTGGCGTCCACTCCGTCGTAGCTGATGGCGTCGGGCTCGTCTTTCGTTTGGGGCCCTCCCTCGTAGCTGATGGCGTCGGGCTCCATGCTGTCTCCTCCCTTGTAGCTGATGGCGTCTGGCTCGTTCTTCTTTGCGCCACCTCCCTCGTGGCGGATGGCGGCTGGCTCGTCCTTCGCTTTGCCACCCCCTCGAAGCTGATGGCATTGGGCTCGTCCTTCGCACTTCCTCCCTCGTAGCTGATGGCATCGGGCTCGTCCTTTGTATGCCACCTCCCTCGTAGCTGATGGCGTCTGGCTCGTCCTTCGTTGCGCCACCTCCCTCGTAATGGACGTCGTCTGCTTCAGCCCCATCGCTCTCTCCCGCAACGAACCCAGATTCTCGAATCCAGATTTCTTGATGCACACAATATCCCCTGCCCAACTTATCGATGACCGACAAATCTTGAAACGGCTGCGTCGGATCACAAATTGTAGGCCAAAACATCTGCAGGCTCTCCGACAGGTGCGTCGACTGGCGCTTCGGCACGTATAATAGAATCGATCGTAGTCGCTTGCCGCAAAGCCTTGATCTCGGTCTCAATCCGCCGCACTGCCGACACCAGCTCATGGAGGATCGTCTGTGGGGGGGCTAGGTCTTCATCACGCTCTGGCAATTGCTGCGCCTGTAGCCCGATGCATGCTCGCAGACCCGAAGTGGCAACTAGTGCTTGGCGCAATTCAGCGCGTTGTATTCTCATTTGTCTTGTCTTTGCCCGCGAAACGGGCACGGTCGCCGCCGCCGCACAAGGGCTCCGAGGAGTGTCCCCAGAATCTCGGGGCAGGGCCGTGTTCGGCGTGACCGCTGCGTGCCGCTCGAAAGAGACCATGCGCGGCCGCTGGCGCCGCTGTCTGCGGCAGGGAGCAGGGAGGCACGGATGGCCCCCTGCCGCAGATGATGGCGCGCGGCACGCGTGAGCCCGGCCTCGCGGGCTGGCCGATGCGCGATGCGCCCTGCCACCGCGATCGATCGGGCGGCAGTCGCGACCGACCCCGATGGATCGATCGGGATCCGCGGGCTCGCCAAAGGCCAAATGGGCTTCTCCTCCTCCTCCTCCTCCTCCTCCTCCTCCTCCTCCTCCCCATCCTCGTAGCCCCTGCGCGGCTCAGGGCCCGCCAGGAACAGGGGTTCACGGCACTTCCACAGTGTGCCGAGGGGTCGGAGAGCTCCTCCATGCGTGCCCATGGCGCTAGCGCGGGCGCCGCGGCGAGGACCGCCCTGCGGATCCTCGCCTTCAACCCCCTCCACGCGACGGGCGAGCGGCTGCACGAGCTGCTCGCCGCGACCCGCTCCTCTGATGCCCTCTTACTTGCGGGAACCAAGGAAAGTTGTAGGAGGGGGACGGGAGTACTACGACGAAGGGTGGATGGGAGGCTGGTGATCGAAGCAGTTTATTCGCCTGGTGCCTACACTAACAGCTCAACGGGGTGCGCAGTAATCCTAGGTCCAGAATACCGTGACCAGGACGTCGCCCAGGTGTGGGGGTCTCCAGCAAACTGTGGGGGGAGGGCCGTGGCTGCCAGGATAAAACGTGGTGCGGTGGATGTGACCCTGGGAGCCCTTTACTACCCGCCGCAACCCTCCAAGCGTGGACAAGCAGGCCCCTACTACGCCACTGTGCAAGCACTAACTAGATGGATGAGGGACCTGTTACAAGAACTTCCTGCGCGCACCTTGCCCATATTTTATGCAGATTTAAACGGCGGACTAGGATGCTCCAAAATCTCAGGTACATGGACTGAACCACCGAGTTCCTCCATCGGTCCCTATAGGAACAGAGAGGCCCGACGACGTGGAGCGGGCGAGGAAATCCGCAAGCTGCTCGAGGAGCAGCACCTCGTCGCGCCGTCGACCTTCCTACCTCTCGAGAACACCTTCTACTCGTCCGCCAACCCTCCGACGGCATCGAGAATTGACTATTGGTTTCTCTCTGCTGGATACCACGAACGTGTTCGGATATGTAAGGTATTGCGCCCCTTGGGGGCCCAGTTGCAAGCAATCAAGGGACTACCCCCCCGAGATCATCTACCTCTCTGCCTTGTGTTGGACTACGAAAAGGACCCGTACATGTTGCCCCTGGCCCCCCCAAAAAGAATGGACCCTTCTGCGCTCATGCAAGCAGTCCGCAGTGGAAAAGATAAGAACGACTTCCTCCAGGCAGTAGCTACGGAACTGGAAGCACGTGAGGCCGAGTTCGAGGGCTACGCCCAGACAGGATCGGCCGACACTTTCTTCGAAAAAATGGAGGATGTATTGACTACCATCGGGCACCGACATTTTTCGCGGGGACCTCAGGCATCGGATCCTAATGCAACCAAACGTCGACGAGAGCTGCTGCGACTGCGTCTTCAACTTAAGGAGTCCAAACTTAATCTGCCACCGGTGGAGGAGGACCAGGAGGACAAGTTGAGGGAGGTGGAGGAGGAGCTGAAGAGGTTGTCTGCTATGCTGCTCGCAGAACGACGGCGTGCCAGGAGGGAAGAGAGGAGGATGTACATCGAGATGATCGAGGCGGCGTGGAGGGAGAGGAGGATGGCGGATGCTACGACGTTGTCGAGGAAGGCGGCCAGGACTCGTTTCGGTGCGAAACAACGGGATGGCCGCCGTCTCGGACCCCCTCCCTTGGACAAAGAAGTCTGGATCGAGCACCTTTCCAAAACGGGGCCTGAAGGGGGTATGGAAGCGAGACAAATGGACTGGTCGGAGTGGAGGCAAGAGAGGGAAAACTTACCAGTCCCCCCTACGTCAGCGGGCGACGAGGATGCCATTGCACAGTTGGCTGGCGAGGATTTCGGCACGCTTAGGAGCTACTGCAGGAAGGCAGGGAAACGACGGGTGGTGCCACCAGGGACCACGCCACTGGAGATCTGGGATATGCTCTTGTCCCCCTCGCACGGCATCTCTTCTCGGGGACACGGCCTGGGACACAATGAGGAACCCCCTGATCTTCGAAAAACCCATTACCTTCTTCATCTTGGGCTTGCTCAGATAAGACGAACTGATTTGTCGCCGCTGTACTGGCACCGCTCCAAGGGCATCGGACTCCACAAAAACGACTCAGCGGGGCCTAGGGGACGTAGAGTAATCCACACCCTCCCCGCCATCGGGAAGGCTTGGTGTGCACGTCGGATATCCCACAGGCTTCCCATTCAGGACCACGGCTTTGCAAGGCACCGTCGCCGAGAGGACGCAATCATGTCGACGATGATTGTGTGCTACAGGTTGAGACAGGCCAAGTGGTCATATGCAGTTACGCTTAAGGACCTTTCGAATGCCTTTGGAAGTACTAAATGGAGCAAGCTAGATGAAGTCGTCCGAGAAACAGTTCGTCCTTGTGATCGAGTATTATGCCGCCAACGTTATCGACTATCGGTTGTAGAGTTAGATACCACGACGGGTCCACTGATGGTTAAAACAGGAATTGGCGGAGTCATGGGAGACCCCTTTAACGTTCACGGTTTCTCAGGAGCCTTTGTTGATCCAGTTAATCTATGGGCAGCAGGTATGTTAGAGCGTATACCCACGACCTCGATATTGTTAGGGGAATGGTGCGGTGAACCAGCGGACATGTCATACCAGAAATACGCCGACGACTTGTTAAGAACGATCCCACTGGCCACGGGTACTAGCATGCGTGAGGTATATCAGGCATTACGTACATCAGACGAGTTACTAGATACGGCACTCTCCACGGCAGGTTACACGCAGAACAAGAGCAAGCAGGTCACGTTATTCTA